TTTTTACTAACTTACAAGCTATGGTACAGGTGTAGCATTGTGAATACTGTTGTAACATCTGCGTCACTGCTGCATTGTTAAGCTTATCATATGTCTGAAGATGTGTGTAAACATATGAAAGCACTTAGGTGTTTTTCTCTATTTTCACTGTGGTATTTTTTTTAAATCTTCTATTTTTATTATTGCTGTTATTGTTATTATTTTTTATTATTACTGTTATTATACTTTATTATTATTGTTATAATTTATTATTACTGCTACTGTTGTATTATTATTATTTATAATTATTTTTTTATTATTATATTGATGTTATGATATTATTTTTATTATTTATGGAGAAGCACTAAACCCTCAGGGGTCATAAAACTTCTGGGAAATGTAGAAAATGAGATTCGATCCGAGGAAAGGAAGGGCACCTCCAGCTCCTCGGATCAAGAGGCTTTATCATCATCAAGGCAACCCCTTTCCTCTCCCTCTCTTGAAAGGTTTGAAATCTACCGTCAAATTCAATTTGTGATTACCATCTACAAAGCAGCTGTGATCTCATTTGGTTCGACCGAAACGAAGCTTTAAAAAACGTTTTAACGAAACACCCAAAGTCATCATTATTAAAAACTTTGCTAATGGAGGAGAAATGAAGCACAAAACTTCATAATAAAATCATTCAACGTTTCGGCACTGGACTTTTCGACATTCTCTTTTAAATCAGAACGGGTGAATTACGAAGAAGATTTTAGAACGACATTTTATGTTATATGGAAGGTAATCAGCTTTGATACGAGGAATGGGAGGGCAGCTCCAATTCCTTGGATTAAAGCCCCTTTTCAGGGGTCCTGTTTTCAAGAAAGACCTCGAAAAAAAACTTCAATTAATTCCTCTATTGGCCAGGCTATTGTGCTTTGGCTTCTTTGCATGTAGGGAGCAGCAACAGTCTGTTTGGCAAGCCAGGCTTTCAGCAGGTTTAATATGGTGTTGATAAAAGAGACCATCAGCCTTTTATATACACATAGTGATATGTATTTCTTAATGTTTATACACGATGATGTGTATCTCTCAGTATGTGTACACGGAGAGATGTGTCTCTCTCAGTGTGTGTACACAAAGTGATGTGTATCTCTCAGTGCGTGTACACAGTGATGTGTATCTCTCAGTGTGTGTACACAGAGTGATGTGTATCTCTCAGTGTGTGTACACAGAGTGATGTGTATCTCTCAGTGTGTACACAGAGTGATGTGTATCTCTCAGTGTGTGTACACAGAATGATGTGTATCTCTCAGTGTGTGTACACGGAGAGATGTGTATCTCTCAGTGTGTGTACACAGAGTGATGTGTATCTCTCAGTGTATGTACACGGAGAGATGTGTATCTCTCAGCGTGTGTACACGAAGAGATGTGTATCTCTCAGTGTGTGTACACGGAGAGATGTGTATCTCTCAGTGTGTATACACGGAGAGATATGTATCTCTCAGTGTGTATACACGGAGAGATGTGTATCTCTCAGTGTGTGTACATGGAGAGATGTGTATCTCTCAGTGTGTGTACACAGAGATGTAGATCTGTGTATATATACCAAGAGGTATGCATTTTTAAGTGCATATATACTGAGAGGTGAGTATCTGTCAGTGTATATACTCTGAGAGGTGTATGTATATGTATATCTCTCACTATACATACATAGAGTTTACTTTAATCCATAACTTACGGGAAGCGCTAAACCCGGAGGCATCAGGTAACTCCTGGGAAACGGGAGGCAATCAGGTTTGATCCTAGGAGCTCGAGGCTCCACGTACATTATATCTTTACCACGAACCATTACCCATGGTATATGTCTAACTCGAGGCTCCACGAACCATGAAGAACTAAGGTGTATCTCTACCATGAAGCTCTACGGTGTATCTCTACCATGAAGCTCTACGGTGTATCTCTACCATGAAGCTCTACAGCGTATCTCTACCATGAAGCACTGCGGTGTATCTCTACCATGAAGCTCTACGGTGTATCTCTACCATGAAGCTCTACGGTGTATCTCTACCATGAAGCTCTACGGTGTATCTCTACCATGAAGCTCTACGGTGTATCTCTACCATGAAGCACTGCGGTGTATCTCTACCATGAAGCTCTACGGCGTATCTCTACCATGAAGCTCTACGGTGTATTCTACATGAAGCTCTACGGTGTATCTCTACCATGAAGCTCTACGGTGTATCTCTACCATGAAGCACTGCGGTGTATCTCTACCATGAAGCTCTACGGCGTATCTCTACCATGAACCTCTACGGTGTATCTCTACCATGAAGCTCTACGGTGTATCTCTACCATGAAGCTCTACGGTGTATCTCTACCATGAAGCTCTACGGTGTATCTCTACCATGAAGCTCTACGGTGTATCTCTACCATGAAGCTCTACGGTGTATCTCTACCATGAAGCTCTACGGTGTATCTCTACCATGAAGCTCTACGGCGTATCTCTACCATGAACCTCTACGGTGTATCTCTACCATGAAGCTCTACGGTGTATCTCTACCATGAAGCTCTACGGTGTATCTCTACCATGAACCTCTACGGTGTATCTCTACCATGAAGCTCTACGGCGTATCTCTACTATGAAGCTCTACGATGTATCTCCACCACGATTAGAAACCACGGAACGGGTAAGGTTTGAACACAGCTTTTGTTTCCTCTGTGTAACTCGTATAAAAAAAAGGCAGCAGCATACTGATGTATCAGATTTTGTTTAAAAGAAAAAACACACGAGGCAGAGCAGGTGATGCGCAGGTGACTACATTTTTCCACTCTCACTCGCACGTACTGAGTCACGACGTGAATAGTCCATACTTAAATCGCAAAGTTCAATTTTTTTTCTCTTTTTCCATCGATGCTCAGTACTGATCTGTGAGGCAATGAAATGTTCATCCACGTCTCGCTCACCACCTGCTGGATGACACATGTGCAACACCTGCGGGTTATCAAGAATGATTTAGGTGTTGCACATGTGCCTCAGCCTTTCGGTAATACACCCTATCGTCTGATGATCGATGAGCAAAGGAAAGAATCTCGCTTTGTGAGTTGAAACAAAAGTTGCCCAGGTGTTGCTTATAAGTGGAGGTGGGAAGGTGTACTGACTGACATTATTCCAGCTGTCATTGGTGAGTATGGACGTGACTTAGATTCCACCGATTATCTGGAAGAAACGATGCGGAATAAGACTTTTCAGTACAGTGTTTTGCACTGTGTAGACCTTTATAATAGACTAATTCAGCTCTACACAGAGTGAAGTTTTAAATAAACGCTTCTTTAATGTCTGACGGGATATATACCCTGAGGGAGGTATTTCCCTCAGTATATACATACTAAGAATATTTTAGTAGCTATCTGACGAATTAAAGTATATTCTTGTCTGGTGGTGAAATGTTTTCGTGCAGCCTTAAGCGTAGTGGAGTCGACAGGCTTGAAACCCATTAACCAACCAACCTAACCAATGTGTGACTATACGTCAATACAGATGAGTGTTTGCTTGGCTCATGTGGGTTGCTCACTAGCTTATTTCTCTTTATATTATTGAGGCCCAGTATGTGTAATTACATGTTTTAAAGATTTTATTAGTAATTTCCGAGCCAAACTGAATATAGCAAGTTATTAACAGTGAAGAGGTGAATTGATTTTCATGTTTATTAAGGTCAGGTTTCAAATTCTCTATATGTATAAAGACTCCAACAATCTTAGGTCAAGTGAATTAGAGCATTTATTAAATTATTAAAGTTACTAGAATTTAATGGGTGATTTAAGGTAACTGCATGATCCTTAATTTCAGAGTGTGATAGGTGAGTCAAAACTCTGTAAAACGCACCTTCATACTCTCATATTCTAATCTGGAAATTTCTGAAGAACTGCCAATATACAGCAACGAACAATTGGGACTTTTACAGCTATATACAAAATTTGAGCCTAAAGGGGTAGGGAATCTGTTTTTGAATTTGAAGAATAAACCAATAGTTAAGGAATTAGCAAAAGCAATTCTAAAAGAAATTGGAAGATAAGGATCAAAAAATAATGTTGAAAGTTGCGTTACTCAGCTCAAGTTGTAGAAAATTTTGAATGTAATATATTTTAGATTCTGATGATGTAAGAAGAAACATACGAAACATCAGTAAAGAAACTGAATATCCATTGAATTATATCCCTTAATTTATATCTGTGGCCTCTTGTTGTCCTTAGTGCAAATGCTAAGAAAACGTATGTCCTTTTATTAGGTTGGGTTAACAATACTTTGTCTATAAGGCTGGCATCATAATGCTGGGTTCATAAGGTTGGGTTCATATGCCTGGGTTCATATGCCTGGGTTCATGTGCCTGGGTTCATATGCCTGGGCTCATATGCCTGGGTTCATATGCCTGGGTTCGTATGGCTAGGTTCATATGCCTGGGTTCATGTGCCTGGGTTCATATGCCTGGGCTCATATGCCTGGGTTCATATGCCTGGTTCGTATGGCTAGGTTCATATGCCTGGGTTCATGTGCCTGGGTTCATATGCCTGGGCTCATATGCCTGGGTTCATATGCCTGGGTTCGTATGGCTAGGTTCATAGGCTTACTGCCGAAAGAACAAATCTTTCCGTGCCGTTCTCAGTTACTTTACACACTATGTCACAGGTTCGTGATGTGTCTTCTGGTATGTAACCTTTACTGAGGATGTAGAGAATAATTCACAAATAGATAATAATCTCACAAACAGGTATTTATTGTGGTTCAAAACAACGACATGCATATATTTACAAACTAAAACATCGTACCAGAAACTGGGAAAAATGCTTAGCACTGCGCCCGATGTTTTTACAATGTTTCTGTTATTTTCTACAGTCACTGATGATGAGTTCATAGAGACCTCGAAAAGATTTTATGAACATCGTTTTCACAGTTTCTGGAACGGTACTTGGATATCTAATTACCAAGGAAACTTGCGATTATTTGTCATGTAATCAAACATCTGTTACAGTGAATCGTAATGGCCATGATGCCGCAGGTATCAGTCACGCTGTGGGTGTTGATGGATGCAGTGACATCTGTGGTAGCAGGCAAGTTTCACACAGGTGTTTTGTAAACACGACTCACCATGTGTTTGACGCTGACTGAACTTATTGCCTTCGTACTTGTGTTAAATTGTGGACAATATAAAAACAAAATACTGATAAAATGAAGAGAAAAACCTAAGCGTTTTCATGTATGCACATCAGAAGATATGTGTAAGCACATGAAAACACTCAAGTTTTCCAAATTGTAAAGGTAGGAGGGAGGGGGTAAAGGAGGTTTTGTGGGCTAGGGGCTTGACTTGCAGCAAGCGTGCGTGAGCGTGTTAGATAGGAGTGAATGGAGACGAATGGTTTTTGGGACCTGACGAGCTGTTGGAGTGTGAGCGGGGTAATATTTTGTGAAGGGATTCGGGGGAAACAGGTTAGCCGGACTTGAGTCCTGGAATTGGGAAGTACAATGCCTGCACTTTAAAGGAGGGGTTTGGGATATTGGCAGTTTGGAGGGACATCTAAACCTTCTTATTTGAGCGCCCCTGGAAAGACAATGATTATGTATGAGTGATGGTGAAAGTGTTGAGTGATGATGAAAGCTTTTTCTTTCTTTTTGGGTTTTTCTTTCTGTTTTGGTCACTCCTGCCTCGGGTGACCCAAATATATACATACATATATATATATGTATATATATATATATATATATATATATATATATATATATATATATAATATATATATATATATATATATATATATATATATATATATATATATATATATATATATATATATATATATATATATATATATATTATATATATATATATATATATATATATATATATATATATATATATGCTTACTTCTTCCATATTATTTCTCTTTTTAAATTATTAAAGAGGTGAGCAGAGGTGGAGGCTGGGAGAGACTGGCTCGGGTCGGCGCCAACTATAAAAATCCTCTTAGTTTCAGGTATTTCCTCGACCTCATGCACTTACCTGTATGTAAAACCATTGTGTTGTTGGGCAGTGTCTTGTTTAAATATTAAATTACCTCGTGCGTTTCGTGGGGTAATAAACGTTTTGTGTTGCAGTACTGTGTTGCATAATTTAGTGTTGTGTGGACGATTTTTCTTCGTACTTGAAGTGTTGTGTGTAAAAAGAAGAAGGTGTGCGTCGTAAGACGTCTAAAAGTGGTCGTGTCGGCAGGTTTCCGCGAGCCCCACACTTCCTGGTAGCAGCAGAGGACTGGCCACCTCACGTCTACCTCCACACTGACCCTAGCGGGTCAATCCAGGTCACGGGACCTATGGGTCAACTCCTCGACGCTCTGGCTGCCTCGCTTAACTTTACGTCAGTATTTTTTTGATAACCTGCTAATTCTTGCTGTTGCATGGAATTTTTTTTTGCTTTGCAACTGGAGAAAGAGAAATCTCTCCGGCTATTATTTTTAGTTTATATTCAGGTTCATATACTTGTCTTTGTTAGCTCAATAATAACCACTATGTAAATTTTCTCAAATAGAAGAATGTATATTTATACAAATAAGAGTATGAATAACTAAAGTGCAATAAACACCTTTAATAAACATTAATAATGCACATGAGGTGTAATAAATATTAATAAACACTAATAACCCACATGGAGACAGAAACTCAGGAGATTAAATAATCTGTATATTTCGATCCCCTTTTGGGTTCGAAATATATAGATCAATTAACGAAATATACAGATCAAATTACGAAATATACAGATCAAATAACGAAATATACAGATCAAATAACGAAATATACAGATCAAATAATGAAATATACAGATCAAATAACGAAATATACAGATCAAATAACGAAATATACAGTTCAAATCACGAAATATACAGTTCAAATAACGAAATATACAGTTCAAACAGCGAAATATACAGATCACATAACGAAATATACAGATCAAATAACGAAATATAGAGTTCAAATAACGAAATATACAGATCAGATAACGAAATATACAGTTCAAATAACGAAATATACAGTTCAAATAACGAAATATACAGATCAGATAACGAAATATACAGATCAATTAACAAATATACAGGTCAAATACAAATATACAGTAACAGCGAAATATACAGATCAATAACGAATATACACTCTCAAATAACGAAATGTACAGATCAATAACGAAATATACAGACAAATAACGAAATATACAGATCAAATAACGAAATAAACACATCAAATAACTAATATCAGATCAAATAACGAAATATACAGATCAAATAACGAAATATACAGATCAAATAACGAAATATACAGATCAAATAACGAAATATACAGATCAAATAACGAAATATACTGATCAAATAACGAAATATACGATCAAATAACTAAATATTACATGATCAAATAACGAAATATACAGATCAATAACGAAATATACGATCAAATAACGAAATATACAGATCACATAACGATATTACAGTTCAAATAACGAAATACAGATCAAATAACGAATATACAGATCAAATAACTAAATATACAGATCAAATAACGAAATATACAGTTCAAATAACGAAATATACTGATCAAATAACGAAATATACAGATCAAATAACGAAATATACAGATCAAATAACGAAATATACAGATCAAATAACGAAATATACAGATCAAATAACGAAATATACAGATCAAATAACGAAATATACTGATCAAATAACGAAATATACAGATCAAATAACTAAATATACAGATCAAATAACGAAATATACAGATCAAATAACGAAATATACAGATCAAATAACGAAATATACAGATCACATAACGATATATACAGTTCAAATAACGAAATATACAGATCAAATAACGAAATATACAGATCAAATAACTAAATATACAGATCAAATAACGAAATATACAGTTCAAATAACGAAATATACAGATCACATAACGAAATATACAGATCAATTAATCTTCTGAGTCTGTGTCTCCATGAGCATTGACAAGTGTTCATTACACTTTAGTTATTCACAATATTGTTTGTATAAATATACATTCTCTTGTTTGGGAAAATTGATATCGTTTTGCTTGCGTAAATATAATTTCTTGGTTGGGTAAACAAATATTAACTTATTTGGGTAAATTTACATTATTTTGTTATGGTAAATATATATTATTATAAACTCAAGAAAACTCAGAATATAAAATTTGAGTTGAATGTTTTAAGTGAGGTCCTTTTCAGATTGGAGGTTCACAGTTCCTCATATTTTGTGTTTCTTCCTCCTCATAAATTAATAGGTTAGATTAGGTAATATTCGTCAGGAAACAGGACAAGTGTTTTCTGACTCTGGTTTTAGTCATTTGGAGACCCGCCACTGGAGCTTTTGGTCATGTGATCGAGGCCTTCGGCTGGCTTACCAGTCCATCTCTTAAATTTTTAAGATGAATATTGTTACCGAATACGGTTTGTTAACCAAAAGTTGTTAATTAGCCTACTATACGTCTATGAACAAGCTTACCTATTGCTAAGACGGATTTGTGTATTAATCAGTTATTGGCACACATTCTGGTAAGAATAATTTTAACTTTGTATAGCTTTAAGAAAGACACAGAGATTACTGATAATCCGTTTTCTACTAAATTTCGTGAACACAGATTCTAATTTCATTTTCCAAGAAACTTGTGCTGCAGGTACAGTGTTGTACCAGGTGATGGATACTGGGGAGCTCCACAGGAGAATGGATCTTGGAACGGCATGATAGGCACAGTACTGAGGAAGGTCAGTTCTAATTTACAGGCGCTAATGAACAGCATGATAGAATAGTACAAAAGGTAAGTGTCGATCGACACCATGCCCAGCCCTTCTAGGGCAGGGTAGGTACCTGAGCCAGAGCTTGCAGCTCACAAGACTGCTATTCCCATTAGCCCCCTTGGGGTGGGGATGGCAGACCAGAGAGGCCTAGCTTCTCCCTACGAGCCCCGTGAGGGCGGGGAATGTGGCTAGGCCTGGGGACAGTTGGTCCCAACGATGAGGAGGTACTTGTACCTCCTCCCATGGCAGACATTAGTCTGAGATACTCCCGAGACGGAGCCAAGGCCGGGCCACCACTTGGAAAAGGCCCGGGCCGGGAGAATACAGGCAAATCAAGAAGAAGAGGATAAGTGTCATTAGGTGTCCTAGTCAAAGGCTCAGTTAACCTTGTCTAAAAGGTACATAACTCTGGTGAGTGTGCGTCTGCCTGTTACATGTGTATGCGAGTTTGTGTGTGTGTGTGTGTGTGTGTGTGTGTGTGTGTGTGTGTGTGTGTGTGTTTGTTACGTATTGCATATTGTCTGTGAATTTTGTATATATGTATCTTTCATATATGTATTTATGTGTATGCTGGTCTATTATGTATTTATGTGTCTGTTGCCTGAGTCTTTTATAAATATGTATATATCGAAGAAATCACAATAAAACACGTGATTGAAAATATGTAAAAACACCACAGTAAAAACAGTAAATAAAACTTGAGCGCTTTCATGTGCTTGCACACACACATCTTCCTCTGAAGATCGTGTAAGCACATAAAAGCGCTCAGGCTCTATTATCTATTTTCATTGTGGTATTTTTACGTATATATGTACGTGTGTGTGTGTGTGTGTGTGTGTGTGTGTGTGTGTGTGTGTGTGTGTGTGTGTGTGTGTGTGTGTGTGTGTGTGTGTGTGTGTGTGTGTGCGTGTGCCTGTTACGTATGTGTACATGCTGTGCTCCTGTTCTTCCACATGTATGAGCACACCTCATACATGTGCCTGCCTGTCTTATACATGTGCCTGCTCTCTTGCTTGATATTTTTTCTTTATTTTGTAGCAAGCAGATCTAGGTCTAGGACCGTTTGGTATGTCTTACACCAGGAGCGAAGTAGTGGATTTCACCATCCCTGTCTTCTTGGAGATGTTGCATGTTTTAGTCTCTCGACCTCTACCCATGCCTGATCCTTGGGGCTTCCTGGCACCCTTCACGTGAGTACTGACACCTGTCTAGCCTGCCCTACAAATCTTACCTGACATAACTTGTTGAGTTACACAAGTGTTCGGTATCTAGGTGTTATTTTGTAGAGTTTCTCACACCATTGGCTTTATAAATACAATACAGAAGACTGGAAAGGTAAATACAAAATTTTAAACGTGTGCGGGTCATAAAGGTGAATGATTGTAGAAGCTACGTCTTTTGTTAACTATGCACCAGACACTGCCTGTATATCAATAGTATTATATACCGACATGTATCTTAAAAAGGTGCAATATGCGATTTATAGCGTTTGAAAACACGAATCGTCCCTTACAGACTTCATAAGTTCTCGCCATTTGATACACTGGGGAGAACTGATAACTTTGTTAATTGAGAATTGACAAAGACTTCCCAATAAAATATTAAAAGCATACTGTGTTTTATTAATAGACTATCTACCTGTACTTATGGCAGGTGGTACGTATGGGTGGCTCTGCTGGTGGCACTGCTGGCTATTATAACAACCAGTGTGTTCATCGTAAGAGCTCTGGGCTTCGGTGGGCCGCTGTCTGCTGCTCAACATGCCTGGGCGTTTTACAGTATCTCTTTTACGCAGCGTGAGTACTCACCTATTTGTGGTTGCATGGGTCGAGACATAGGTCCTGGACCCTCTGCTAGTCACTACTAGGTCCACTCTCTTTCTGCTCCAAGAGCCATATCGTACCTCATCTTAAAGCTGTGTGGATGCTCATCTACTACTGTACTCTCCAGATTGTTCCACTTCCTGACAACTCTAAGGCTGAAGAAATGCTTCTTAACATTCCCATGACTCATTTAAGTTTGTGTGTGTGTGTGTGTGTGTGTGTGTGTGTGTGTGTGTGTGTGTGTGTGTGTGTGTGTGTGTGTGTGTGTGTGTGTGTGCGTGTGTGTGTGTGTGTGTGGTGTGGGGGTGCGTGTGTGTGTGTGTGTGTGTGTGTGCGCGCCTTCAGTTATATTCACCTCCTATACTCACCTGGGGTCGAGACACACAGCATCAGAGTCCGCCTCTGTATCACTGTCAACTAATTTACAGATCCATATCATCCTGGGCTAGTCATACCTGTACTTTACACGTAGGTCTTCCCGTCCTTCCCTGTTTTTCTTCTCTTCCGCAATCTTCCCCTGTTCTCCGTCTCTGTGTTTTCGAGCATCTTATACGTCATGATAACGATGTCCTTGGTTCTGTCTTACAAATTAATCAAGATCTTTCTTCCTATTTTCTCCTCGTTGAATATTTATCACCATGGGAAAATGGAGAAGAACCCTTCCTCGTAAACCAAGCGTGTCTAAAGTGGCAACTAAAATGCCGGGAACAAGGAGCTAGTAACCGCTTCTGTATGAATTACTACGTGTAAAAATTAGGAAAGCTTCCTAAGAGCATTTCTTCTTCTTCTTCTTCTTCTTCTTCTTCTTCTTCTTCTTCTTCTTCTTCTTCTTCTTCTTCTTCTTCTTCTTCTTCTTCTTCTTCTTCTTCTTCGGGTCACTCTGCCTCGGTGGGAGACGGCCGGTGTGTTAAAAGAAATACATATTTAAAGTTTTTTTTTTTTTTGTGTGTGTGTTTCAGCTGTGCCCTGGCTGCCTGTGACTGAGGCTCTGCGCTTCACCTTCATCTTGTGGTTGTTCATCTGTCTGGTGGTCAGTCGCAGCTACAGGTGAATGACTCGCTGAATGAACCACGGACGGAGAATCGAGCCTTTACTGTTCTTCGTGCAGAATGATGCACATGCGGCTTTAGCCCTTCATCAAAATCTGCAAAATACTGTATGTAAACGAGTAAATGTCATTGAGTACAAAAAATGGGGAAGGCTCGATCCTCCGTCCACGAGAAGAGACAAGCTATCTAGTTGACTCACGAAATCATAATAACACGATTGTAACCAATTCACAGAACGGGTGGGGCTTGGACCCATGGCGAGCAAGTCTTAAAATCACAGGCTAGTGCGCTAACCTCCCTCTGGTTCATAGAAATACACCTAGCTGGATCAATCTTAGAGGCAGCTGGCAGAGTGGTTAACGCACTGGCCTTCGAGTTTTAGGACTCACTTGACAAGGGTTCTAACCCCACCCATTCTGGGATATACTGGCTGAAGTTATGGTGTTCACAATGAGCGTAGTAGTAAGTTAGTAGTAGTAGTAGTAGAGGTTTGCCGGTACTTCCGGCCCGGGTCTTCTCCATATGGTGACCCGGCTGTTGCCCCCGGTTGGGGGTGTTGTTCATCTTCTTTCTTCTGTTTTCTTTCTTGGGCCAGCTAGTAAGAGGTGATGTGGTGACAATGAATATTGTCTTATGGTGGTGATGATTGTGGTGTGAAATATATTAGAAATATACCTGAGAAATACATTCTCAGGATACATGCTGAAGTCTGCTCTGAAACATTCCTTATGTCTGCCCCGAAATATTCCTGATATCTGCCCGAAACATTCCTGATGTCCGTCCTGAAACATTCTTGATGTCTTCCCTGAAACATTTCTGATGTCTTCCCTGAAACATTTCTGATGTCTGCCCTGAAATATTCCTGATGTCTGCCCTGAAACATTCCTAATGTCTGCCCTGAAACATCATAATGTCTCACTGAAACATTCTAATGTCTGCCCTGAAACATTCCGATAATGTCTGCACTGAAACATTCCTAATGTCTGCCCTGAAACATCGATAATGTCTGCACTGAAACATTCCTAATGTCTGCCCTGAAACATTCGATAGTCTGCACTGAAACATTCCTAATGTCTGCCCTGAAACATTCCTAATGTCTGCCCTGAAACATCGATAATGTCTGCACTGAAACATTCCTAATGTCTGCCCTGAAACATTCCTAATGTCTGCCTGAAACATTCCTAATGTCTGCCCTGAAACAAATCTGATGTCTGCCCTGATGAATTCTTTATATTTACCCTTACACACCCCTGATATTTGCGCTGACACCCTCCTGATCTCTCTCTTGACACGGCTGATACGGTGGCTGACACGCTGTGATGGATAGTGGAGCGCTGACGTCCCAACTAGCAGTGAAGACGCTGACAGTGAAGTATGACTCGCTGAGAGACGTTCTTGATGACCATAGCCTAACTCTGCTCATGGAAGGCTCTACGGCTCTCACTGCTCACCTTCAGGTATTTACTCTTCTCATGGAGGGTTCTACGGCTCTCACTGCTCACCTCCAGATATTTACTCTTCTCATGGAGGGCTCTACGGCTCTCACTGCTCACCTCAGGTATTTACTCTTCTCATGGAGGGTTCTACGGCTCTCACTGCTCACCTTCAGGTATTTACTCTTCTCATGGAGGGCTCTACGACTCTCACTGCTCACCTCCAGGTATTTACTCCTCTCATAGAGGGCTCTACGGCTCTCACTGCTCACCTCCAGGTATTTACTTCCTCTCATAGAGGGCTCTACGGCTCTCACTGCCCCCCTCTAGCTATTCGCTCGTCCTCGTCCAGTGTAATATCCTTCTGTTTTCATTCTGCAATAATTTTCATAACTAATACATCAACTTGCCCGTCTTGCAGAGAGGTTGAATGCCCTAAATATTTAACTAAACACTGGTTGCATCCGTTGCATAATTACCGTTTGAGTTACTGAAACCTTTTGACCATAATGTTTTTTATGCATCTTAAAACTTTCAACACTCTCTTAAAACTTTCTACTTATCATCGCAAACCTTTTGAACGTAAGGAAAATTCATTCGTCACAGAAATGGTGGGGTTCGAAGCACTGGCTGGCGAGTCCTGATACTCGTTTAGCCATGGATTCAAGCTCCACCCATTCTGTGATTTATCTGCAATCGTGTCATTACGATTTCGTGAGTCAGAATCAACTGGAATCATCTAAATCATTTCTACTTCTTGTATTTTTGTGGAAAAATTTTGTGACAGAATTTCAAATCCACATTTAAAAGGAGTAAAACTTGAAGTGGCATTAACATTTGTTAAGATTCTAGCTGAAGTTTTCAGCCTCTAGCAATAAATGCTGAGACACAGAAGACCTAAGGTTTCACCAATGAGAATTCTGGAAAGTCTGTGAAAGGCCACTAACCAGAACTGTATTCATGGGGAAATGCAACATGAATTCATTCACTTAGGACACTTAAGGACACCTTCAGTGAAGGTGTTATATATGTATATATTTATGTTCGTATACCTCAAGTTGTCGACAGTCATTTGTCTTCTGAATACTCTGTCATAGTGTCTTCCAGGAGAAATTCGATCACCAGACAAGTCAAATTAACTTGTCCCTGTAGTCACTTGTTAATGTGCTGATATTTCTTAATAGTCTTAAGTAAAAATTCAGTAGGGTGGTGGATTCTTGCTCTGTTTCACAATACCAGAGGCGTTATCTACTAGATCATCTGCTAAAACGACTGGTTAAATCCGCTGAACGATACACGAGAGTTTGCATTTCATAATTTTTCCTTCCTTTGGCCTGCTCCTTATCGCAGACGGCTACTGAAGGGGTGTATGGAGAGTTGGCTCAAGCCAGTCGTGTTAGAGCTAAGTTCGTGCGAGCCACCGAGATGTACGAGGCAGCTTACACCCTCATCCCTGACGGTCACCATGCTATGCTCGTCGAGAATGTTGTTTGTAGGAAGATCTACTCTGACTTCTTCAGTGCTAAAGGTCAGTCCCTGGGCAGGTCTGGCTGGGGAGGGAGGGACGGCGAAAGAAGAACATAGGTGGGGGGGGGGGGTGGATAAGTAGGCAGAGAAGGGAAAGAGTTTGGACAGAGGTGAAACAAGGGAAGATGAAGTTAAAACGAGGAGTGAGAGATACTATACATACAATCGTCTCAATATACATTTCCAAACATATTCGTTACACCATAAACTCTCCCCTTGAACACTAAGACACATGTCTAACCCCTGGTGGTGTCAACAGGTCGCTGTAACTTCTACATGTCCACCGACAACTTTTGGAAATTGATCTACGCTATGGTGGTGCAGCGAGGTAGCCCCTTACGTCAGCTCCTCAACTCGAGGTCAGTGTCTCTGCATGCAAATACATGTACTTTCCTTCAAAGGCACATTTGTAAATAATGAAACTGAATTTATACCAGCTGCACGAACTGACCCTCTATGATATATATATAATATATATATATATATATATATATATATATATATAATATATATATATATATATATATATATGTATATATTATATATATATATATATATATATATATATATATATATATATATATATATATATATATATATATATATAATATATATATATATATATATATATATATATATATATATATATATATATATATATATATATATATATATATATATGCAATAAGATCACAGTAAACAGGTGATTTCAAAATATGCAAAACAACCACTCTGAAAGAATAGAGAAATTCCAAGCGCTTTCGTGACTACTCACATTATCAAGGAACTATCTATCATAGTTCCTTGATAATGTGAGTAGTCACGAAAGCGCTTGGAATTTCTCTATTCTTTCAGAGTGGTTGTTTTGCATATATAAATATATATATATATATATATTATATATATATATATATATATATATATATATATATATATATATATAATATATATATAATATATATATATATATATATATATATATATATTGCGTGTATGTACTGTATGTATATACAAATAACCCGATCCAGGTCGGACCAAAACATCGTCATAAGTTTCTCCTACATGCGGGTCATCTGCGAGCTGTTCCAGTCACGGTATTGTGCCTTCTTATTCTGCATGTATACATGCGTGCGTATATTTACCAAGTGTAATAGCGGGAGGTTTCGCTGCTTCTCCCTCAATATTGATTAGTATTAGCTGTTCCTAGCACCTACTAGGTCTCTATCATGCCCGTACATGTACCTGACCTGCTGGGCCGTGGTTCGTACGTCGATTTGCGTGGGGCCAGCAATAACAACCTGGTGGATTAGGTTGATCCACCGCGAGGCCTGGTCATAAACCTGGCAGCGGGGGCGTTGACCCCCTGAACACCCTCCAGGAACCTATTTACTGAGTGAGGCTCCGACTTATCCTCCTCCAGATCATTCCACATCCTAAGCACCTTAATGAAAGATATCTCTGAGCTCTTGACGTTTTGACCTTTTTGACCTTCCAATCATGTACCCTTATCTGGCTCTGACGAGCATGCCCTTTCAGGATCCGGGCACTGGGAGAGTTTGGCATCTACGACCTCTGGGTATTGAGTCAGATGCCCAATATGACCCATTGCCTGAAAACGCCGAGAAAGGTCAAGTTTCAGGAACCTTACTCCATGGCTGACCTCTGGGTGAGTGTTTTTTCCACGAAGGGCTCTTGAAGATAGGATCTTGAGCAGCCCTGAATTTCCTTGGCTCAAACGCGATTGCCACCCTTTCTCCGTAGGCACTGCATGAGCCCTACGGATTTAGGGCTTCCTCGTGAATATAATAATATTCTCCTGGTTAGGAAGGTAAGTAGGTAGGTAGTTTTTAATGTCTCCTGGGTAGGTAGGTAGAAAGTTCCTGATGTCTCCTGGGTTAAGCAGGTATTTAGGTACTTCTTCATATCTCCTGAGTAGACAGGCAACTCCTGATGTCTCCTAGGTAGATAGGTAGTTCCTGTGTCTTTTGGGAAGAAAGGTAGCTCCTGTGTCTCCTGGGTAGATAGGTAGCTCTTGATGTCTCCTGGGTAGATAGGTAGCTCCTGTGTCTCCTGGGTAGATAGGTAGCTCCTGATGTCTCCTGGGTAGATAGGTAGCTCCTGTGTCTCCTGGGTAGAAAGGTAGCTCCTGTGTCTCCTGAGTAAGCAGGTACTGTAGGTAGGAGGCTCCTGATGTCTCCTGGGTAGATAGACAGGTAGGTAGGTAGGTAGGAGGCTCCTGATGTCTCCTGCGTAGGTAGATAGATAGGTAGGCAGGAGGCTCCTGATGTCTCCTGGGTAGGTAGGTAGGTAGGAGGCTCCTGATGTCTCCTGGGTAGGTAGGTAGGAGGCTCCTGATGCCTCCTGGGTAGGTAGGTAGGAGGCTCCTCGTGTCTCCTGCGTAGGTAGTAGATAGGTAGGTAGGAGGCTCCTGATGTCTCCTGGGTAGGTAGGTAGGAGGCTCCTGATGTCTCCTGGGTAGGTAGGTAGGAGGCTCCTCATGTCTCCTGCGTAGGTAGTACATAGGTAGGTAGGAGGCTCCTGATGTCTCCTGGGTAGGTAGGTAGGAGGCTCCTGATGTCTCCTGGGTAGGTAGGTAGGAGGCTCCTGATGTCTCCTGGGTAGGTAGGTAGGAGGCTCATGATGTCTCCTGGGTAGGCAGGTAGATAGGTAGGCAGGTAGGAAGCTCCTGATGTTCCCAGGGTAGGTAGGTATCTGTTAACTGTGAGATTAATGGGTAAGTCTCTCCCACAGGCTCTGTTTCTGCTGTTGATCTCCGGTGCTGTTGCTGCTGCTGCTGCCTTCTGCTGTGAGCTCCTGCTGCCCCCCTCCACTCTTCACTAGCGCTGTTTCACTCACTAGTGCTGCGTTCCCTGCTTCTCACTGGTGCTGTTTCTCTCACCCTTCATCAGTGGTATTTCTTCACACCACGCCAGTAGCCCAGGTATCCCACACCTTGTCACGTTTCCAAGGTATCCCAGACCTTGTCAGTTATCCTAGGTATACTATATCAATTATCCCAGACATCGTAAGGTATCTCAGATCTCGTCAGGTATCCCAGGTCTCGTCACGTTTTTCAGACCTCATCAGATATCCCAGGTATCCCACGAATAACATTCACAGCCTCCACAGGGGGCTTTGGCAGGGTATACCTCGGCGAAACAGGAAGAAGCTTCGAAACAAGTCTTAACGAACAGTGCATGCAGGAACGATAACTTGAATACCGCATGAGTACGACAACGGAATTCCGCCAACCATCTGAAGAAATTTAACGATACCCACGCAGCGATTAAAGAATCCAGTTTCCACAGACGTAAATGCCTTGAATCATCCTTAATCGCTACTTCAATCACTATTGAACAGAATAAAGACAGCTTCGTCATCTCTGTAGTATTACCAAGAATTCTCCTCAAAACAATAATCCCTGCCATCACATAGCTGCAATGAGTTACCTTCCAATGCTGCTACTACTACTGTTACTACTACTACTACTACTACTACTGTTACTACTACTACTACTACTACTACTACTACTACTACTACTACTACTACTACTACTACTACTTCTACTACTACTACTACTACCAACATCATGGACCAGTCAGCCTTTTGAAGTGATCATGTTTTTGTATCTCACTCTCTTACCTACGTATACCCTCTGTGTCCATGTATTGTTTGTAACGGCTTGACAAGGCTCCTGATGAGCGAAACGTTGCTACAATAAAATGTCGCATTAGTTGCATATGTGTCCTTTTGCCTAACATATTGTCGGTAATTCTACAAACCTAATTACGGCATGGTAATGGTCCCGATCGTAGCGAAACGTCGTTATAGGCCATTTTATTGTGACATTTATTTTCCAAGTAAAATACTTTTATTCAAATGTTGGGAAGAAATAAATTCCTGTACTCGTTGTATCATACAATGTTGACATTGGATATTCGTAAGAAGTTCTTACAGCTGGTGTATTGTGGCATCCAGAGAATACGGATTTCCGGACTGTATTGCCAAGTAATGGGCCAAAGCGTATATAAAAGTCGTGAAAGATCTGGTCTTTCACGACTGGCTAAGTTTTGTAAGAGGGTCGTCGTGTCCCCGTCACGAAGCTGGGTGGTCAGAAATTAAGTTTTATAATAACTATGAGTACATGACGGGGAAAATCTTAGAGCTTAGGCAACGGGTGCTTCTATCGTTTGACGTCAGTACTTCAGCTATTGTTATCTGACTAATGTCATGTCCTGTGTGTCTTCATGTAGCTCTAGTTAGTGCTAGAGCAGCCCTCACTCTTCTGTGTTGTGGTATGTAGCTCTAGTTAATGGTAGAGCATTCCCTCGCGCCCGTGTGTTTTGGTGTGTAGCTCTAGTCATTGATAGAGCATTACTCATTCCCGTATGTTGTGCGTGGCTCTAGTCAGTGCTAGAGCACTCCTCACTCCTGCCTAATTCCCGTGTGTGTGTTGGCGTACAGCAGTAGTCAGTGCTAGAAAGTCCCTTATGTAGTAGGCTCGCCATTGTGTGTTATTGCGGCCGATGAACTTACTGTACATAATACCAACAAGTAGCTGTGTAAGACGGATGGTAAACAGTTAGGCATCTTTATTGTCGAAACATTTCGTCAGAAGAGGCCTGCTGAGCAGGCGAAACGTTTCATCTGTAAATGTACCCAACCGTTGCGCGTGTGTTCATAATAAGACATGATTTAGGATTGATCTCCAGTATTTCTCATGCGCATGCACGATTCTTGTTCCTCACGAAGGAATATCGTCATATTTAATACTCTGTTATTTTGCATTTAAGAGAAACAGAACCAGGAGGTTGTGGATCAATTGTAAGTTGTCTCGTCATGCATCAATGTCTAATGGAATATCACAGCTCAAGAAGACATAGAACCAGAGATGTGGAGAAACAGTTTACTTGACACGCTTCCAGCTGGCTACTGCTACGCTCCGTGTAGAGCTTCACGACTTAGTAAAGCTCTACAAGGAGCGAAACGTGGCCTCGTCTATACTGCCAGCAGCACGCTGCTCGAGCGCCAACATAGCATGTTGTACATGAATGGTTTACAGTACCGACATGATAAAGAATTAAACATGTGCAACATCTGAGTATCCTTATTTATAGACGTATTGATAAAGTCACTGGATAGCGAAACGTACACAAATATAGATACTCAGATGATACATATGTGTCCGATTCTTCACCAACAGAGCACCAAGTACGTGTGTCAAGTGTACTTCAGTGTAAAAATAATTACAAATGTAAGTACAGTAATTATTAACACTTGGGATAATATAATCACAGTAATACATTAAAAGGTAATCCCCACTACACAGGTGGGGGAGGTAGGTTAACAAGGCCGGGAGCCCAAAGGTACTTGAAGAAGTATGAAACGTCGTGAGCCTTTATGATTACTTTTCGCTCATGGAGATTTCTTTCCTCGAGAGAAACGTTGTTAGAGTGAAGACTTACGTTGTTTATGGACGTCGTGTCCATAAGATACGGAATACAACACAGACTAGATCGTCAAGACAACCCTGATGGACTAGACGATTCATCCTTCATATCAGTGCAGATGCATACATCAAGACAATACTAGGGAACCAGCATAAACCACCAGCATAAGCCACCAGCATAAGCCACCAGCATAAACCACAAGCATACACCACCAGCAAAAACCACCAGCATACACCACCAGCATAAGCCACCAGCATAAACCACCAGCATAAGCCACCAGCATAAAACCACCAGCAAAAACCACCAGCATAAACCACCAGCATAAACCACCAGCGTAAACCATCAGCATAAACCACCAGCATAAGCCACCAGCATAAGCCACCAGCATAAACCACTAGCATAAACCACCAGCATAAACCACCAGCATAAACCACCAGCATAAACCACCAACATAAACCACCAGTATAAACCACCAACATAAACTACCAGCACAAACCACCAGCAAAAACCACCAGCATAAACCACCAGCATAAACCACCAGCATAAACCACCAGCATAAGCCACCAGCATAAACCACCAACATAAACTACCAGCACAAACCACCAGCAAAAACCACCAGCATAAACCACCAGCACAAACCACCAGCAAAAACCACCAGCATAAACCACCAACATAAGCCACCAGCATAAACCACCAGCATAAACCACCAGCATAAACCACCAGCATAAACCACCAGCATAAACCACCAGCATAAACCACCAACATAAACCACCAGTATAAAACCACCAACATAAACTACCAGCACAAACCACCAGCAAAAACCACCAGCATACACCACCAGCATAAACCACCAGCATAAACCACCAGCATAAGCCACCAGCATAAACCACCAGCATAAACCACCAGCATAAACCACCAGCATAAACCACCAACATAAACCACCAGTATAAACCACCAACATAAACTACCAGCACAAACCACCAGCAAAAACCACCAGCATAAACCACCAACATAAACCACCAATATAAATCACCAGAATAAACCAACAAAAGCAAGATGAATAATCCTTTAGACAGCTCCCGCTGGAACCTTGTAAAATATCAACTAAATCAAGGTATACCTGGAGAGGGTTTCGGGGGTCAACGCCCCCGAGGCGTCCTGATAACAAAACTCGATATGGTATAAAACTTGGAATCTGATATTCACAAGTGGTTTGAAAAACAACAAACACTCGGAGAATGGTCCAGGTGACTAGTTAATGGTCCAGGTGACTAGTTAATGGTCCAGGTGACTAGTTAATGGTCCAGGTGACTAGTTAATGGTCCAGGTGACTAGTTAATGGTCTAGGTGGCTAGTTAATGGTCCAGGTGGCTAGGTAATGGTCTAGGTGGCTAGTTAGTGGTCCAGGTGACTAGTTAATGGTTCAGGCGACTAACTAGTTAATGGTCCAAGTGACTAGTTAATGGTCCAGGTGACTAGTTAATGGTCTAGGTGGCTAGTTGATGGTCCAGGTGACTAGTTAATGGTCCAGGTGACTAACTAGTTAATGGTCCAGGTGACTAGTTAATGGTTCAGGCGACTAACTAGTTAATGGTCCAGGTGACTAATTAATGATTCAGGTGACTAGTTAATGGTCCAGGCGACTAACTAGTTAATGGTCCAGGTGACTAATGGTTTCAGGTAACTAGTTAATGGTCCAGGTGACTAGTTAATGGTTCAGGTGACTAGTTAATGGTCTAGGTGGCTAGTTAATGGTCCAGGTGACTAGTTAATGGTTCAGGTGACTAACTAGTTAATGGTCAAGGTGACTAGTTAATGGTTCAGGTGACTAACTAGTTAATGGTTCAGGTGACTAACTAGTTAATGGTCAAGGTGACTAGTTAATGGTTCAGGTAACTAGTTAATGGTTCAGGTTACTAGTTAATGGTCCAAGTGACTAGATATTGTTTCCAAGTCGGATCGAAACGTCGTCATAGGTTTCAGTCGTCTATATGGAGGGTTATTTGTGTATTCCAAAAAATATGTTCGAGTGTTTATCCTTCCGTCGTTTAAAAAAACAAAATTAAAGTGAGGAAGGCAACACCTTTTATTTCGACCTAAATTTTTAATCAGTTAATTGATTTTTGCTTCCTGTTTTTGTGTTTTCTCAGATTTCCTTCAAAAAGTTATCTTCAGGATGTTTTCAATGTTTTACTTGGCCCATTCTTTTCATTTTGTTTTTTATTATTTGTTATAATTATTAGATTTATTAGCTATTTTCCCAAAACTGTTTTCGTTTAGTTTAGAACTTAGTTTTGTGTTTTACTTGTATGAATATTTTATATATATATATATATATATATATATTATAATATAATATATATATATATATATATATATATATTATATATATATATATATATATATATTTTTTTTCAGAAAGTTTTGATAAAGTGAAGTCGTAGAGTTAGTGGTGTCTTCATCTGGTAGGATTTGTCCTGATGTGGGAGTTAATCCTAGGATGACATAAATTTATCGTCAGGCCGTACTTAGTCACAGAATGACACGGATGTATTCTGATGCGGGAGTTAGTCACGGGAAGACTCTAATTGATCCTGAAGCGGGAGTTAGTCAGAGGATGACACGGCCAGTGGTTAAGCAATAGCTGGTGCACCGGTGTTGAGTGTCAGTGATTAAGAAACATGAAATATGAGTAGATGAGTGAAAGTATAAACAACTCATTCTCTTTCTACAGGTTGCTGCAAGAAGACACGAAGGCAGCCTCACACACACAGCAGATATCTTTGCCATATCAACCTGCTTCCAGTGGCAAGATAGGGACAAGTGTCTAGCAGTCTCTAGACCGTCTAGAGTGTATTGTGCCTTCTGGTTACTGCTTAACACCACAGCTAATCACAGCCACCAAGAACTCTCAGTGCTTCATTAGTGAATAGCGATAGGTTATACGAATACATAGTTCAATAATACCAGAGTGATAAAAGATACAAAAATTTTCCAAGAATATATTTTTTTCAAATATCACAAGCTAGAAATATGATTTCTGTTATATTCACGGCCTCGTAAACAGGGAGGATACTACGCAGTTGCCACTTGGTGACTTTCGTCAGATAATGCACGCAAAGCCAAGCTGACAACTTTCGACATCATTCGTGTCTTCAACCTCAACTCCCACATAAGGAGTTCCTTGTGCTCGCCATGGATACTTATGGAAACAAAGTCAAAGACGGCACTCTGCTCTTCCGGACTAAGGGTCCCTTCGGCAAGGTAAACTAACCCTTCAAAAAGTAATTGTTAAGATGTTATATTAATTTCAAGACGGGGAAGGTGGGAACTTGAAGCTAGGGAGGCCAGTGGGATTGAAATTTACGTGTCTGCTATTTTCCATACGCTATGTGATCCCTAAAAGTTTAGTGCTTTCTCATTAATGTAATAGCAAGAATGCTAATGACTTTTTTTTTTTTTGCTAGTTAAGTATTTATTTTTCCGCCTCATTGGTTTCTATCTTCATACTATTGTCAGTAAAATGTATTACTACTGCTACCACTAACACTACTATTTCTACTGCTACTACTAATATTATACCGCTACTATTATTTCTATATTACTAGTATACTACTACTATACTACTATTATACTACTACTTTACTGCTACTACTACTATACTACTAGTAGGATAATGCTACTACTGCATTTATTATTACTACTACTTCTACTGCCACTACTTCTATTGCTACTACTACTAACTATTACAACTATTACAACTATCACACCATCAATAAACTCTAACAAAATATAAATGTATAAAGGATTTATTTTGCAATAGAAACCACAACAAATAAAGATAATTCATGTTGTATTATAAAAATAATTCAAAAGTAATCTGCAGCTACCAGCATCAGTTATTACTAAAAAAATAATTGATTTGTGTACATCAGTAATGAGAATTATCTCATTTATTATTAATAAAAATACTCTTACCTGCATTAGCAATAAAAACAAACACTGAATCTGTTTATGTCAACATTGGGAATTATCAAATATTTATGTCAAATTGTAGGAGTTATCTGATGTTTACACATGCAATAACAGTTATTTAATCTGGTTATGTTAGTAGTCTAACACATTTATGTCAGCAGTAAGAGTTATCTAACGCATTTACGTCAGTAGTAAGAGTTATCTAACAAATTTACGTCAGCCATAAGAGTAATCTAATGTATTTACGAGTAATCAAACACATTTACGTAAGTAGTGGGAGTTATCTAGCGCATTTACGTCAGCAGTAAGAGTTATCTAACACATTTCCGTCATCCCTCACGTTAGTGACTACATCAGAGGGAAGGGGAGGGTAGAGGAAGGGAGAGGGGAGAGGAGGGGAGAGGGTTGTCATGAGGATGGGAGAGGAGTTTCATGGAGGGGGGGAAGAGGGGTGTTAGGCAGAGGGGAGATGGGTGTCAGGGAGAGGGGAGAGGGTGTTATGAGTAGGGGAGAAGGGTGTCATGTGGAGGGGAAGAGAGGTGTCAGGATGACAACAGACAGGAAACAGTAGAAGATACAGCAACATCCGTTAACGGTGGAAGATACAACAGCATGCGTTAACAGTGTCTTGCAGCTCTCTCCCTATGTAAAGTAACCACATATGTAACTCAGTTACATATGTGTTGAGACATTACATATGTGTAGTGGCAGTTACATATGTATGGTGACACACAAGTATAGTAATATTTATGTATGTATACTAACAGATACTAATGTATAATAACATAAATACATGTATAATGACAGCTGCATGTATATATAATGACAATTAAAATATTAACTTTGTGTAAAGTGGTTAATAGCTTTATAAGTGTATAGACTACAAGAAGGTCATTAACGTTAAAAGTGTATAGACTACAA